CTTAGGACATTAAGAGAATTCCTGCTAATAATGCTGTAACATCAACTAAACATGAAGGCAGAGCCTTGGTTCAGTATGCCATCTGAAAGATGGTACCTCCAACAAGGTGGCACACTCTTGATAGCTAATCAGTCTGTAATGCCCAATTATCTCACTTTCTCTTTTTCAAACAGAGGTTACATTTACCATCCTCCAATTTACTAGGACTTTCCAAAAATCTATAGAATTTTGGAAGATGATAACCAGCTTCCATATTTCCACAGTCAGCTCATTCAGTACCCTGAAGTATAGTTTCAAGTCTTGTAGAATTACTTGGAGGGACAGATTAAGTACTGCAGTTCTAGAATAGGGCTTTAACACATCAGATTGTTTTAGATGTGTATGTATTACAAACTAAATAAAATTCACATTTTGAGGAAGTACAACCAAAAGTATGTCAGATGACTTGATCATTTATAGCATTATGAAAACCACTCAAGAAATTCATATTTTTGTGTATTTTGGAGGGGGCAGTCAACATAACAGCTCATCTTACACTGCACGATGACAAGTAATATGAGCAGAAGTTCACAAAGTCCACAAAAAGCTGTACATAACCAAAATATTGGAATGAGCAAAAATTGGTCAGCTGCTTCAATCACCAACTGCATGGATCAATCTCAAATTTTCTCTGATCTAAACCCATCTGTTTGCTCACTGCTGAATGAAAATTTATCTTGATGACTGTCACCAAGTTACAGCAGCACCTCAAATTCGTGGCAGCTCTCTACCTAGCAGTCTCAGTCCCATTCCACTTATCTCAATTGCATTGCATGTTTATTTCCATTAGGTACTCATCCAGTTTCTTTTTGAAATCACTGATTATTCGCACTTCTACTGCCTCATAAACAGGAAGTTCCAGGTTATTACCATTTACTGCTTAAAATATTTCCCATGTGTTCCTTATCTAATACTTGAAACCTGTGTCCTTTGTCTTGAACCATTATCTTTACTTTGTCTACATTATCTAAACATGTGACAATCATGTACACATGTATTTTAATTTTATTTAAAAAATTAGGAAATCGGATGGGAGATTTTGCCACTGTGCTAGGATAGATTAGATTGGTCAGGTGCAGTAGACATTGGTGCATTAGCTGGAAGGAATAGTTCTCTGAAAAAGGAGCTCAACCTGTTTTCTATGCCTTTTAACTACTGAAAAAAAATCAGGTAGACTCCCTTACATCATGCACCAAAAGCCAATTTACATGCTCAAACTCAGTAATGCACTTGAAACTGGGTAATAATTGGAATTCTTGAGAGTTGTCATTAAATGAGAAGACCATAACAGCCCTACTATCCATAATGGAGCAGTTTCCATAATGGAAACTATTCATGCAAATATTATTCTTAACTGCTACTATCTGATTGCAGTCTGCTTCGCAGTAAGTGTCATGACTTCAGTCAGAAAAGCAAGGTGAAAACTAGTTTATGAATGAAAATTGACTTTGGGACAAACAAGTGATTCAAACTCACTTTACAGTTCAAAGAGAGTTAAGATGGCATTTAGCACATTTGCCTTCATTGCTCAGACCACTGTGTACAGAATTTGGGACATTATGTTGAGGTTTTAGAGGGTCTTGGTGAGGCCACTTTTGGAGTACTTTGTACAGTTGGGGTCGCCCTGCAGAAAGGATATTATTAAATTGGAGAGCGTTCAGAAAAGATTTGCCAGGATGTTGCTGGGACTGGAGGGTTTCAGTTATAAGGAGAGGCTGGATAGGCTGGGACTTTTTTCACTGGAGCGTAGGAGGTTAATAAAATCATGAAGGGCAGAGATAAGGTGAATAGCAAAGGCCTTTTCCCTAGGGTGGGGGAGTTCAAAACTAGGGGGCATATTTATAGGAGAGAGGAGAAAGATTTAAAAGGGACCTGAGGGGCATCTTTTTCCACACAGGAATGAACTGCCAGAGGAAGTGGCAGATGCAGGCACAGTCACGACATTTAAAAGATATTTAGATAGGTACATGAATAGGAAAGGTTTAGAGGGACATGGGCGAAGACTTAGTTTAGTTTGTGAATCGTGGTTGGCATGGATGAGTTGGACCGAAGGGTCTGTTTCCGTGCTGCATGACTATGACTTTATAACAGTTCTGGAGAATCCCTTAACTTTTCTTAATGGGAGAACTAAAGCAGGTTAAAAGATTGTTTAAGAAATGTCATAAAGATGCAATCAGGTACAGCGGAACCCATGACCATATTCAGTGATTAGCCAAGCAGCTTCTAAATGTACCTTGATATGAATGCACTATTCATATATACAATGAATAACTTGTTAATAAATTAGCGTAGCGTGCATCTGATGGAAAAGTATCTGGATATGCACCTCAAGTGCTGTAACCCTCAGGACATTGGAAAAAATGCTGCAAAGTGGGATTATTCAGAGCAGCTTGTTTCTTACCCAGTGCAGACATAGAGTCATACAGCACGGAAACAGACCTTTCAGTCCAATTCATACATGCGACCAAGTTTCCCAAACTAAATTAATACCATTTGCCTGCATTAGCCCATATATCCCTTTAACCTTTCCGATTCACGTGCCTGTTCAAATGCCTTTTAAATGTTCTAACTGTACTTGTATCTACCACTTCCTTCGCAGTTCATTTCACATATGAACCACCCTCTGTGTGAAAAAGGTGCCCCTCAGGTCCCTTTTCAATCTTTCTCCACTTACCTTAAAATTATAGGAATTTTAAGGTAACATTCCATTACCATCCTTGTAAATCTTTTCTGCACCCTCTCCAATTTAATAATATCCTTCCTATAGCAGGGCAACCAGGACTGAACACAGCACTCTGAAAGTGGCCTCACCAATATCCCATACAACTGCTATATGACATTATACAAATGTCTTTTAAATGTATCTACATCTACCACTTCCTCTGGCAGTTCTTTCCACATATGAACCACCCTCAGGGTGAAAAAAAATTGCCCCTCATGTCCCTTTTAATTCTTTCTTTTCTCACCTATGCTCAATGATCTGTGCAATGAGGGTAAGTGTGCCAAATGCCTTCTTTACCTTCTTCAATGAAGTAGGTGCCTGAACCCCTAGGTCTCTCTGTTCTACAACACTCTGCACGGCTCTACCATTAACTGTGTAAGTCCTACTCTTGTTCATCTTACCACAATGCAACACTTCACAATCATCGAAATTAAATTTCAGCTGCCAATCCGTGGCCCAATTGATTAAGATCCCTTTGTAACCTAGATAACCCTTCTCACTGTCTACTGTACCACCAATTTTGGTGTCATCCTGAAACTTACCAACCCATGCTTCCTATATTCTCATCGAAATTGTTTATATAAATGACAAACACAATGGACCCATGATGGGTTAAATGACTTCCTTCTGGGCCACAAACATTCTTTGATTCTATGAAACTATACACACCAAGGAGACAACTGTCAGCACTGCTCAGAGTGGTTTCATTTTGATGAAGCTACTGAATAACGATCCTAGTTACCTTGGTCTTTTAAATACGATGCCACCTAAACAAGAGATCAGACCTGATCGCAGCAAAATCAAGACAAACTCATTGGATCTCCATGAAGAGATATACCTACAGCCTTTACCACTTCTAACTGAAATGAGTTTGTTGTATTGTATTTGCATCCGTTGCTTTGAATTACAATTTCTTCTACACATGCAGCATTTGTTGAACATGCAGAGTAATTTTATATAGCAAGTAATAAAGCAGAAAGTTATTGAGAAGGTTCAGACAAGACACAGATGTGTGCCACAGAAAATAGGCATAACAATGGCTAATTGTGAAAGCATGATCTCTAGAAAAAAACAAAATTCAAATAAACCCTTCAAAATGACAAAGAAAAGGAGCAACAAAAATAAGAAAATAGATAATTTGAAAAATAAAAATTAAAATGGGAGTAATTGAGATGGAACTGGAAAAACTATGGCAAAAAGTGCCCAGTGGTTAGCGTAGGGAAAGTTCCAAGAAGAAGGGGACAGGGAAGAGGGTGGCCAGCAAGAGATGACACTAAACCACTTTTGAAATGTTTCCTCTGGGCCTGCCAAACTTTAGTGTGCATGACATGTGGTGGTGACTGTCAGTTGCATTTTAGAACTTGAGTTATCTGGAGTGTAGGAATTTGCAATTGTGCATGGAGTGAATAATTGGCATCACAGCATGGAATCAAACAATGCATCATTAAGCAAAGCAATTTAAAAATATCAAAAATATAACAACACTGCATTGTAAACCACAAAATATCACTTCATGCAGCAGTTATAATCTCATTTCTATTTCTTAATTTTAAAACAAATATTAAATGTAATAAAGAAAACAAATCAAAGGGTAACAAAACAATTTCAAAACAAAACGATGTACCCTGAAGGGCTTACATTACAAGTATCAGTTTTAGAAAACTCAGAATTTTGAAAGGACCAACAAATCTATACTGATATGCATTTCACATATTTAATACAGATCAATTATATCCAACTCAGGACTTTTAATGCGTATCATAAGTAGTTACTCCCTTTTTAAAAAAAATTAGATTCTTGTAAACTGCACATGTTGTCAGTACATAGTATTTCCTTACTGTCCAACCCATTGATATCCAGAAGACTTCCATTAGTTCACAAACTGGGGAAAAATATATTTCCTTCTAAATTTAAGAACGAGCAAAAACACGTAATGGCCAAAGGAGTTTAGCCATGGGTGTGACTGACAAGTCCTGACTTGTGCAAATAACACTGTGTACATGTACTGTACCACTCATTAAGATACCAACTCAAATTAATTCTGAAACTGATGAAATAAAACCACAAAATCAATGCAGTTCAGACCAAACTACAATCTCCTTCCATTAAAAGTAACCATGATTATGTTACGTGCCATCAGTATTGAACCATGGTCAACCTATTTCAAGTCACTTCTCTGCTGATCAACAAAAGAAACATTAATTTACAATATTATAATCTAAAATATTACAACTGATGAGGACCTCAACTGTATAGAGCAGATTAAAGAAGAAACAGACATGTGTGTATTGAAAGGGCACAAGATTAGACAACAGCTTTTATCCTGGATTTGTGTGCGCACCAGAATCTTTTGTTGTATTATTGCCCTATAACGCATTCAAAACTGTACACTGTCTTCAGTTAAACGGTGTTTGAGAAGATATTAAATAAAGGAACTATCATAACTCAAACATTTGTAATGACAGGACATTGGCTCAGTTATGATACAACAGTTTGATATTCACAGTTCCTACAATTTTGATTTAATTGCTGATAGGTGCAAGTACAGGTTTGAAAACTAACCTCTTTGCGTCAAAATAAAAGATAACACAAGAATACAATGCAATTTCACGATTAAATAAATAATAAATATGATAAAACACATTTCACTTAAAGCACAAAACACACATAAAACTGTCACTTTGCAGTACTCCGCTGCCATCATTTTCTGACAATACAAGACCAGCAATTTCTTTTTTGTTCATTTAAAACATTAATTGAGGCAGCCAGTGCAGCCAAACAAAAATAACTTACAGATAGAGCAATTTAGTTCAGTCTAAAATTGTACAAAAAGGCAAATATCAATGCTCCTTTCGATCAAGTCTTTCCAAAAAAACAAGGCGTGTGTCTACTGCAGAATTCTCAAGTTTAAAAGAAACATTTTGAGTTCTTAAGCTGAGATTGGCAAATGGAGACAAGCAAAAGAGCTCAGCTTGCACACACCCGTGCACTCCTGTTCACATCTGGGTGAAGGTGAGCGACTGCTGGACCATCGAGTTTCTGCACAGAACCGTTAAAATGGCACCAAAATGGTTCATCCCTGGACATCTGGAAAGGAAATGGATAAATGGTCAGTGGATAGAACCACCACTGGCAGAGTCTATGGGTAGTCACTGATAGGATAATTGGGGCCCGCTTACTTTCACTTTTCTTATTTCCTATCCTGCCTGCTGTTTTTACAGATCCAAGGTGCATACCTAGTCTCTCTTCAGTTAAGTGATCTTGCACAGACGACAGAGAGCCTTTGAGTTAGGGAAAGGAAACCAATCAGTCGGACTTTCTACTTTGACTGTTATCCAGTGATCCTTGCTGGAATGAATGCACATTTGAGCAAGTGAGGATCATAAAGTATACAACCTCTGACTTCCATCCAAGCACTAAGATCATGACACAGATATTCTGATGGCCAGACAGTTGATGATGCAGCGTAGATTGAAGTTATATGCTCAGACACCGCTGAATCCCTAATGCAAATTATATGGGAATTAACTGGGATACTGAAAGATTCGATGGATAATTCTGCTGCATCTGTAACTCTCTGAAAAAGTCCCTTGAAGTCACAGACTTTGAGGGTTCTGACTCATTTAAGCTTAATAGTTACCCAGGAAATGTTACTGGATTAAAAACCTAGACTAGTTCATGGATAACTTCAAGAGAACACCTAACTCACCACTGACTAGTCTCTCCCATAACCAGCACCATGATGCGGAGGCATTGGCTTAATTCTAGGCCATTAATCCAGAGACCTAGGTTTTATTCTGGGGACTCGGGTTTGAATCCCATCTTGGCAGATGGTGAAGTCTGAATTCAGTAAAAATCTGGAATTAAAAATTAATGGTGATCATAAAGTCATTGTCGATTGTCAGAAAAACCCATCTGGTTCACTAATACCTTTTAGACAAAGAAACCGACATTCTCAGTTTGGCCCATGTGACCCCAAACTTACAGCAATGTAGTTTACTCTTATCAGCTCTCCGGCAATTAGGGATGGGCAATAAATGCTGATCTAGCCAGCGATACCCACATCCTGTGAATGAACAAAAAAAAAAGTCCCTGATCTCCCGATACCCCCATAGCCAGAGCCGACATCATTATTATAGCTGGAGTTATCAAAGGAGGACTCCTAATAATGGTATTTGGAAATATTATTTTATATTCATAAAATTATACAGCAGGACTTTATGGATCTTTTACAGCAGAAAAGATGTATATCTGTAATTTGAAGAACCAAAGCTGTCGCGATTGAAACCTACCATGGCACAAGGGAGATGACAGGAACTATACTAGACCATCATATAGAGAAAGCGCTTGGACGATGGATGGGTCTGCTTTCGATCCCTCTTGAAACTCCTGTAGCGTCAATTTCCCATCAGCATTCTGTAATACAGGTAATCAAAATTACTGAAATAAAAACAAAATACTATGGATGCTGGAGATTTGAAATAGAAACAAAGTGCTACAGAAAGAAGAGTCTCAGACTAAAAACATTAACTGTCTTTCTCTCTCCATAGATGTTGCCAGACTTAGTGAGTTTCTCCACTACTTTGTTTTTATTTTATATCAGAATTAGTGAACTGCCATAAATGCAGGGAAAATATGTAAAGCTCCCCAAAACCACCTGATAAGTGGAAATACAAGTTTAAGTTTCAATTGGCAAAGACACTGTGGTACTCATTTTCAACTGTTTTACCTTGGCAGTGACATGGCGGAACGGATCACATGGCAAGGAACCATCCAATTGTCATGCCATTCAATGGAATGCCAATTGAGCAGGCTCTGGAATGGCCAATGGTTACAGCCCACTCTCTGATTTGAGAATTACTGTCGATTTTTAAATTCAGTTATAATTTGAAATAAAACTGAAACAACACAAAATCTCATTACCTTGTCCATCATGGCAAAAATCCTATCCACCCGTTTCTCTGGTGTGTTCTCCTCTTCAGGGAGTTCCACTGTATTACCCTAAAGACCCAAAACATTACATTTAAAATCTAAGAATGGCACAAACTTAAACAAAAATCAACATTTTATATAATCTGACCTAAGCATAGGTATATATGCAACTCTAAGTGGACCAGGAGCCATGATGTTCCTGGATGGCTGTCATACTAATGTGCTGTTCGACGTTAATGAGTATGATTGAGTCTGGTAGTGGGAGAAGGGACCTAACCTGGTGAGGGAAGTGGGGGTCAGGTTTGCAAGTAGGTGGGCAGGTTGGGTTCTGGGGAGGAGAGGGGCTGTCATGTCATGGATGTGTAAAGGGTCTGGAAAAGGTATAGCTTTCAGGGTGGTGTTGGTTTTTTTGGGAGGGGAGAACAGGTGGCCAAACAGTTACTCAGGGATTACACTAGGTATTTAATAGTTTAACTTTCCATGATTAACTATTTAAATGAATACATTCAGAGGGTTTCAAGTGTAGGAGAATTGTTGAGCAGAATCTTCGATTTCCTAGATAATTCCTTTGAGGTCTACTACAATGGGAATTTCACAGTGTTCCTATGCACAACTCCTATGTACAACTATCTAGCCATTGGAAAATTTAGGGCAATATTACAAATCAACAATGGTAAAGAAGAATGGGGCAAAAGACTCATGGTCTCGACTGCACTAAGAAAGAAAACAGTTCCGTGTATGAGGGAGGTGGAACGTAGGTGTTAAAGTAGGCCATTCAGAACCTCATGCCTGCCCACTTTCTAGACTGTGGCCTACATTTACCTCAACACCATTTTCTTGCACAATTTCCCGTATACCTTTATGACATTACTGCATAAGAAAGATAATTTAATTTGGTGTGGACCATAGTTCAAACAGAAACATTCTCTACATATTCAGGAGTCTGGATATCTCCCTCTAACTAAAAGATGCACGAGAGGTGGGAAGGTTGCCTGTTAATTTGCTTTAATTTTACAGACATGGTTCCCAACTTGTATTCTGGACCATTTCATCAATCTATAACTTTAAACAAATAAAAGCTTTTGATTTTGTGCATTCTCCAACGTTCACTTCTAATTTCAACTGAATGAGGAAGTAGGTGAACTTTTTAATCACCCTCTTGCAGTTAACTTTGCACACTCTGCCATATTTGCCAATTAACCTGGCAACAATTTCCTTTATTTTAGCTTCCAGTAATTTTATTAAAACCAATCTCAATAACTGCTACTGAAATCATCATAATCCTTACTGACTGAAACTTAAGGACAACCTCTTTTATTCAACAGAAATTGCAAATTGAGTTCTCTTCTAAGCCTTATTCTGATTCTTTTGTTGTTAATAATTTTATGTTTTACTTTTACAAGGGTTTGCAATAATTTGTCTTGATTGAAGCCTACTTTTAAGGTTTAAAAAACTTTTAGGAATAGTTGTGGGTTTGGAAGGTGTTAAGATCTTTGGTGAATTTAAGCAGTGCATCTTGTAGATATTACACACTGCCGCTACAAAGCATTGGTGGTGGATGGTATAGATTTTTGTGCACGTGCTGCTTTGTCCTGAATGGTGTCAAACTTCTTGAGTGCTGTCCGAACTGCACTCATCCAGGCAAGTTGGGAACATTCCATCACACTCCTGACTTGCGCACTGTAAATCATGGACAGGCTTTGGAGAGTCAGTAGATAACTGTAGCCTTCCTAGCCTCTGTCCTGCTCTTGTAGCCACTGTATTTATACGTTGAGTCCAGTTGAGTTTCTGGTCAATGGCAAGCCCCAGAATGTTGATAGTGGTGGATTCAGTGATGGCACACCATTGAATGTCGAGGAGCAGTAGTTAGACGGTCTCTTATCAGAGATAGTCATCGCCTGTCATTTGTATGGCGCAAATGTCACTTGCCACTATTCAGCCCAAGCTTGAATATTGTCCAGGTCTTGTTTATTTGAACATCTGAGGAGTCACAAATGGTGCTGAATATTATGCGATCATTGGCGAACATCCACACTTCTGACCTTATGATGGAGAGAAGGTCGTTGATCAAACATGGTTGGGCATAGGACACTACTCTGAGGAACTCCTGCAGAGATGTCCTGGACCTGAGATGACTGAACATCCAACAACCACAACCATCTTCCTATGCGCCAAGTGTGACTCCAACTAGCAGTCAATATTCCCCCAATTCCCATTGATTCCCATTTTGCTAGGTCTCCTTGATGCCACCTGGATGTCAAGGACTGTCACTCTCACCTTGCCTTATTGGCGTTTCGAATCAGCTATGGTGCAATTCAAAGAATCAATTCTCATTCTAAGCTGAATGCTGGGAACAATCTCTACAACAGTATCTTGCTTGTGCCTGTAAATCCCACAGTCTGCCACATATATTCAGCACTCGAGATTTACTAAATTAGATTCCCAAGAGTTAAGATACACACTGCCTTGGAAGTTTAAATCCTTCTTTACAGGGAAACTGCCAATATTTAAAAATAAAACTTTTCAACTTTAGGCGTAGTAAAATTAATGCCTAATTCTGAAATTCTTTTTAAAAATTAAGAGAAAATGTTCCTTTAATATCAAGAAATAGATTATTTCAAAAGAGAGAAAATTTGGTTTATTCACAAAATTGGAAGACAAAGTACAACTTATGTTGGTATTTATAAATTTACTTACCACCATCTGATAAATAGCATCCACAATATCCAGCATCTCATTCCTGGTGATGTAGCCATCATTATCTAGGTCATACAACTTAAAAGCCCCTGAAACAACATGTCAAACATTACTGCATATTCAAAATTAATGCTCCCAGGCAGACTACCAAAAACCTGGTCTTCGATAATCATGTTCATGTTAATATTTCAATTATAATCTAACCAAAGCTGACATTCACTCTACAACAATTATCCCGCGAGGGACTATGAGACAAGAACACATGTAGAAGAAGAAACACAAGCGGTTATAATTAGGATTTTAGTATCACAATGAAAAATGTGAAATGTTTATGTTAAGTCCACTTACTGTGAAATGACGCTGCAGGAGACCTACAGATTATTTGCTTTTAAATTTAGGTTGTGTGTGGACAGCATTTTAAATGACAAAATTAAGTACAAATGGTTAGAAGGTCTGTGATTAGCTTGAATTGTCGTGATCTGTAATTATCTGAGTACAGTAATGTAGTGGTTTTGTAATTTATTCATTCGCAGGATGAAATGCAGGCTAGGTCAACACTTATTGCCCAACTCAGGCTGTCATTGAGAAAGCGGTGATGAGCTACATTTTTGAAATGCTGCAGTCCATAGGTGTAGATAAACGCACAGTGCTATTAAGGAACGGAGTTCCAGGATTCTGACACATCAACAGTTAAGGAATGGTGATATAGATTCAAGTCAGGATGGTATGAAATTTAGAGGGGAACTTGCAGAGGTTCCCATGGATCTGCTGCCCTTGTCTTTCTAGGTGCAAGGTGCTGGCAAAGATGCCTTGCTGAGTTACATCTTGTAGATGGTACACATATGCCACAGCATGTTTGTAACAAAGGGAATCAATGAAGGTGGTGGATGGAATGCCAATCAAGTGGGCTATTTTGTTTTGGACAGTGGTAAACTTCTTGAGTATATTCATCTAGACAATGAAGAATTTTCCATCACGGTCGTAACTTATGTCTTGTAGATGGCAGAATGGCTTTGGGGAGGTAGGAAGTGAGTTACTTGCTGCAGAATTCCTAGCCTCTGGCCTACTCTTATAGCCATAATATTTATAGGACTGGGGTTCAGTTAAGTTTCTGCAACTCCCAGGATGTTGATTATGGGGGATTCAGCAAAGGTAGTAGCCTTGAATGTAAAGGGAAAATGGTTAGCTTGTCTTGTTGGAGATTTCCTCATACCTGTGTGGTATCGATATTACTTCACATTTATCAGCATGAGCCTGAATATTGTCCAGGTCTTGCTGCATTTGGACATGGACTGTTTTAGATAGCTGAGGATTTCCAAATGGTGCTGAATATTGGGCAATCATCAGAGAAGATTACCATTTCTGACTTTACGATGGAACGACAAAGTAGCTGAAGTTGATTAGGCTAAGTACTGTACCCCAAGGAACGTTTGCAGTGCTGTCCTGGAACTGAGATGGTTGATTATTAGACTAATGATCCAGAGATCTTGACTAATAAACAAGAAAAAGAAATGACCATAAACCTGTTAAGAATGTCATAAAAATCCAACTGATACACTAATGTCCTTTAGGGAAGGAAATCTGCTGTCTTCACTCTCTGACCAATACATCACTTCAGTCCCACACCAACATGGATGACTCTTAATTGCCCTACCAAGTGGCCTAGTAAGCACTCAGTTAGATTAAGCTTCTCTCAGACCAACTAGGAATAGGCAGTTAATGCTAAGGATATTAGTTTTTAAATTAGGAGACAGTGGCTTCAGAAAGTAGAACGGTTTTCACAAATTGCAGCACTAAAGTTTTCTTGCAAAAAGCATAAAAACTCCACAATTGTTCAATTGTGTACAGTTGGCACTGAGAATTGAAGATGAAACATTGCAAAAATGGAGACTAAACAAGATGGACTAAAGATTTGGGTCAAGCGAGTTACTTACATCGTAGTTTCTCATCCAGAGTCCCTCTTGAAGTTACTGACAGTGCTTGGATAAATTCAGAGAACTCAATTTTTCCATCCTGAAATCCATTTAAAAAGGCACCTTTGTCAATTCATTTGTGAGTTATTTTGATTTTCAGCTTTATCTCAGTTGTAATGCTTTTGTCCCCGATTCACAAGATTTTGGGTTCAAATCCCCTATGCCAGGATTTATAGCGTCATACAGTATGGAAACAGACACTTCGATCCAACTAGTGCACACGACCATGCTTCCAAACTAAACCAGTCCCACTTGCCTGCTTTGGCCCATATCTCTCCAAACCTTTCTTATTCATGTACTTATCCAAATGTCTTTTAAATGTTGTAACTACACCTGCACCCACCACTTTCTCTGGTCATTCATTCCACACCACACAAACCATTCTCTGTGTAATTCAGCATTCAATATATAGGCTGACACTTCAGTGCACTTATTTGTGAACGTTGCTTTGTTGAGGGCACTCTCTTTTGAATGAGATGTTAAATTGATATGCCATCCTTTTGGATTTTAAACATAACATATGTTGCTGTAGCCAAACCTAATCGAGCAACTTTCACATATACTATTCAACCTTGACTAGTTGCCTACTTGAAAAGTATTCTTCAAACAGCATTCAGTCGCAATCCACACTTAATAATGTAAACTAGCTCTCAATTCTCAACAGACATTCATCTGGCACACTTCTAAACATGTCAACTGACACACTAACTGCTTTAGTTGACAGTTTGTCCCATGTATCCATTAGTTTGTGGAGATATGCCACCTCATATTGATCTGAAATCCTGCAAGTAGCTTGTTAATTTTAAGGATGTGCATTTCAGCCAAGCTTGAAGTGTGCACATTATTACAAGTTCAATCTGCCTCTCTGGCCTTTCACAAAAAGAGGTAAAATTTATCTTCTTCAATGGCAGAATCTAGAGAATAAGGTACTCACTTTATTTTCATCAAAGACATTGAAGACAAATGTAGCAAACTTGGTTGGATCTCCACAGGGAAAGAATTGTTTGTAGATTTTCTGAAAGCCTGCTGCATCAAGCTGTCCACTGGGGCAGTCTTTAATGAAACCTTTGTACCTGTCAGACAAAATATTAATGAAGATTTTACCAGTAAACATACAAATTAAAACAACACACAAAATAAAAATTTAATTCTAGAATTAAAGACCAGTGATGTGTGAAAATAGCTTTATAAATCATTTAATCAAGGAATGGTTACAGCACAGAGGGAGGCCCACACATTTGGCCCATCATGTCTGCGTCAGCTCTCTGTAAGAGCTACTCAACAGTCTCTCTCCTCCATTTTTACTTGTAGGCCTGCAATGCTTACTTGTCAGATTATAATGGAATTGCCCTTCGCAAACCACAAACAAATCAGGTTCCACCACACACTCAGGCAGTACATCCAAAACCCCTAATCACATGCTGCATTATAAAGCTATTTCTCATGTTGCCTTTAATTGATTTACCAATCACCCATCAGGATAATCTGAGGTTAACTGGGCATGTTTCAGGGCCAAAAGAGGCAGTCTTAGGCTCTTCCATGAGTTTGTACAATAAGATAAAGTCCTGTTGTTCACAGGGGATGCATTCCCAGTGAATATCACAATTGGTGGCTTTCAACGGTGAAATTGGCCGACTGCACATGTACAATTCAAAAAGCATGCACAGTGTGCACATTTACTCTTGGAAAACTGCAGATGAACGAACATCAGAGTTACAGTGGTCAAAGGGATACCCAGTAAGTGTCCTATGCATGAATTCATGAAGGTCAGGAATTGGAACAGTAGGACTTGACTGCATACAGTGAGCAATGATCAATTACCATATATTGCACTAACTCTAGAAGGACCTAAAGGCTGCTTTTGGCCTGAAAGGTGCCAAGTCAACCAAGAAAAAGGAAGATATCTCAAAATTTTGAGCAGTTGGTGAAGATAGTAAGTCCTCTCACACTGCTGCTTTGCAGTAAACACACAAGTGGCATTCTCCACTAAGAGGATGCTACTGTCAAGCCATATGAATTTCAGTTCAGATTTCCAGCATTCGCAATATTTTGCTTTTCTATGAATTTCAGTGCTGGCGTTGGCCAGACATTCCAATGACTGGCAGACTGTAACAACTACTCCTTCAACTGTCTGCAGCAGGATGCATGCCAACAATGTTTACCCTGCCCTGACAACATTCAGAATGTTGCTCCCAACATTAGATGTGATTTTGCTATTCAACAATAGGTGCAATATAACCTTGACCGCATTTAGAATTACACTGAAAATCAATTTAAGATTATCAGTTCAGCTCACAGTGTGAATAATTTGCTCTTGCTAGTAGCTACATTTGTTCACACACAGGACCCTATTCTTTGCATGCAAAGAGAATATGGCCATACATTGTACCTTTTTCACTGAGTAAAAGGCTATGGAGACAACCAATTCTTGCTGCATCCCGATGGCAGTGCCCTAATTTTTCAATTTAATCAGTTAACTAAGGTAGTTGAGAGATCCTGCTGCATCTCTATATCAACTATAGTCCAGCCCTCTTTTCATGTTGTATGAATAGTAGCTTTCTTTCTAAGGTTGGTTTTCTCTTGCATTTCAATCTCATCATTTCAGCTTTTTAACAATATACTAGTAAATTGGTGAAGCTAGTTAGTTCTCTCACACTGCTACTTTGCAGTAAACACACAAGTGGCATTCTCTACTAAGATGGAAAGAAGTGTGGATGTAACAAAACAGATGTTAAATCTTCCATGATTTCATGGGATAGTGTCATAGGAAAGATAAGATGCTGGGGTGATTGAGGAAGGAACAGGATGTCACGGAAGAACAGTCCCTTTGAAATGTTGACAGGGCAGGGAAGATGTGTTTGGTCATGTCATCGTGCTAGAGCTGGACAAAAAGCACAGGATGATCCTTTATTTGTGGAGACAGATGGGATGGAAAGTAAGAGTTCGTGCTAGGGGAAAGGGTGAGAGCAAAAATACAGGAAGTGGGTTGAAAACAGTCAAGAGTCCTAAGGTTTTGGAGTAGATCTGTAGCTCGGGTTGTGGGTGTTGAGGTTGGTTGGCTTGCCGAGCTGGTTTGTTGTTCCGCAGACGTTTCGTTACCATGCTTGGTAACATCCTCAGTGCAGCCTCTGATGAAGCGTCGGTGTGTTTTCCCACCTGGCTTTTAAACTCTGGGATCCGTTGCGATGGATTGCCTCACTTCTGGGTTTCCTCCGTAGTGGAATGTATATGGGGTCGAGTTCAATGTGTTTATTAATAGCATGCTTCGTGGAGTGCCATGCTTCCAGGAATTCTCGTGCTTGTCTCTGCCTAGCCTGTCCCAGGATCTTGGTGTTGTCCCAGTCGAAGTCGTGGTTCTTCTTGTCCATGTGGATTGAGATGAGTGAGTATTGGTCGTGTCTTTTTGTAGCCAGTTGGTGTTCATGTACTCTTGTTGTTATGAAGCACGCTATTAATAAACACATTGAACTCGACCCCATATACATTCCACTACGGAGGAAACCCAGAAGTGAGGCAATCCATCGCAACGGACCCCAGAGTTTAAAAGCCAGGCGGGAAAACACACCGACGCTTCATCGGAGGCTGCACTGGGGATGTTACCAAGCGTGGTAACGAAACATCTGCGGAACAACAAACCAGCTCAGCGAGCCAACCAACCTCAAGTCAAGAGTCCTGTCACCCATGGCTTTGAGTTCTTCCACTGCCTTCACATTTGTGTCCACTTTTTTGGAAACGAGTCTCTCCTTCCCTTCCACTCAGCTGCAGTATCATCATTCAGATAAAATTTGTAAATTCTTAATTATAGAAGGATAAGTCTTTATTTTCAAAATAATACCCTCATTCGAACATTTTCCCCATTTTCCACTGATCTGGTTTAAATCGGTCACTTCAAGTCCTAGGTTCAACAAGCAAAGATTTATTTAAGCATATGCTGGGAACAACTTTCTTCTTGTTATCCAAGATAGCTTCCCCTGAAGTACAAAAGTTTCAGCAAAGTTTATAATTCTCAACTCAATTCTTGTCACAATCTCAACATTAAGGCTGCTGCTTCCTATGGCAACTGGATAATTATGCCAACCTGCATAGGGAAACATATATTGTCATTCCTACAATGTTGGCAACATTGCCCATCATGCTTCAAGAAAATACTCATAACTAATTTGTCTATTCTAAAGCTAGCATCGTACTTTAAATATCAATCTTAATCAATTTTCCCAAATGGTCTTGCTTCATTTACTCAAAACACTGACTTTAGGCACTATTCAAGTGGATATCTAAACATACATAGACATAATAGCAGAACCCTGACTCTTCTCACTTAGCATCACATGAGAATGTTCCAATAGAGTCAGAGATGTACAGCACAGCAACAGACTCTTCGCTTTAACTCTGCCACACTGACCAGACATCCTGATCTGACCTAGTCCCATTTGCCAGCATTTGGCCCACATCTCCCTAAACCCTTCCTATTCATGTACCCATCCAGATGCATTTTAAATGTTGCAATTGTACCCACCTCCACCACTTCATCTGGCAGCTCGTTCCATACACGTACCATCCTCTGCATGAAAAAGTTACCTCTCAGGTTCTTTTTAAATCTTTCCCCTCTCACCTTAAACCTATGCCCTCTAGTTTTGGACTCCCCTGCCCTGGCAAAAAGATCTTAGCTACCCATGCCCCTTATGATTTTATAAATCTACAGTCACCCGTCAGCCTCCGACACCCCAGCCTATTCAGCCTCTCCCCATAGCTGAAACTCTCCACTCCTGGCAACATTCTTGTAAATATTTTCTGCACCCACTCAAGTTTTACAGCAAGGATTTACAGATCAATAGGTTGACCTCGTTATAAGCCAACCTTCTGCGACCATCAAGTAGTGAGGTTGGGCTTGAACCCAGAGATTCTGACCGCAGGGGTCAAGCCACTACAGTTTTGTTAACAATGGCAATGACTGGGGGCAGCACGGTGACTCCGTGATTAGTACTGCTACCTCACAGTGCCAGGGACACGTGTTAATAATTCCATTCTTGGGTGACTGCCTGTGTGTGGAGTTTGCACATTCTCCCCATGTCTGCATATGTTTCATCCGGGTGCTCTGGTTTCCCCACAGTCCAAACAGGTGCGGGTTTGGTGGATTGGCCATGGGAAATGCAGGCCACAGAGTCTGGGTGGGATGCTTTTGGAGGAGTGGTGAAGACTTGATGGGCTGAATGGCCTCTTTCTGCACTGTAGGGATTTCCACACCCCAGCCTATTGTCAAGTTCCAGCTTAAACAAGTTCGACAACTCCGACTGGAATATTATGAACGAATTCACTCACGTGTCCCACAATATCAAAGCAATCAAATCACTATGAGCACAAGCCGGTACCAATGCAAAACAGTCCCAACTTTATTAGGAAACAAGTTACAATAGCTTTTAATACTAAACGATACTATCTCCAATCCTATTTGGTCCCTTAAGCTTACAATACTTCCAGAGTCTCTTACAGATTTATGAAGCTGCTCTCTCTCTGTGTCTCTGTGGGACTGTGAAACTGCTTCCTCTCTCTCCAGATGGTTAGTGGGTCTGCCTTTGGCCATGCTGGTCTCAGAAGATCTAAGAAATAGGACAGTGGCTCCACAGTACTAGTATCAGATGCAGCAACCTGGCAGAATGTTCCTATCCAGAGTTCAAAGATGTTAAGAGAAATTCTAACAGCCCAACTGCTGAGAGACTAATGTTGGCTAACTCATCTTGGACTGAACAACAAGCCCAATAGTGCCTGATGAGTTTGGCTTGGTAAACTTAACAGGATACTTGACCACAATTTCTGATTTGAACTGCAGTTCTTTAAAATCAAATAATTATACTAGACAGAGATATACTTTACAATTGCAAAGCAATACTTATTCTCTCATTCTTCTTTTGACTATTTCACTTGCTTAGTCTGTACCACAAACCGAATGACCTGGTGAGCATTAACCAGACAATATCACAATAATTAAAGTAAGCAATACAAGATAATTATAGATTGTAGTTTGAAAATTGTGACAAGGCCAACTTAAAAATATCTAAAGTAATATCATTGCATT